CTCGAGGATTAAGATGCAAACCATGGACAGTATGTTCGCTCCTCAATATTGAAGAGACATCAATCGCATCAATGTGGGCCGCGCCGACCTCCACAAGCGAACGCTCAAGCCGAAGATTAATCTCCCTTACACACCTGTTAATCCATGGCTTGTCATGTCGCCAGAAAAGACCAACAAACCTCACATTGGTGTGACTAGTTTTCTGGGCAATGTCACTTAAATCTTTCTCAATTTGATAATTGAGGTTTCTCTCCAAACTGTTACCTGGCCCCCCAACTATAACTACCTGATCTTCCTTACTAAAACCTTTGCACAATTTTCCAATGTCCCCAGTGACATTGCTCAGATCAGCATTGGGCTTGAATATGCTGGTCACAGCATATGCATCTCCCATTGCTTTCTGTAGCCTCTGCCCGATACCCCTACCATGACTGCTACCCAGCACTAGAATCTTACGCTTAGGCTTAGCCTCTAACACAGGCTGATCTATAGCGTCACCATCAGTCTGAGGCCCTAGCATAGCTAGAGGTTCAAATCGATTGGTTAAAGCTAACTTAACATCTAGTGAAGAAGGAACTTTTTTAAGTTTTCTTCGGGAGTTGGACACAGTCCTAAATTCTTCAGGACAATTATCTACTAAATTTAATTCCCCTTTTAAGAGGTCAATCTCAGTTCTTGCAAGTTCCAGCTCCCTTTTCAAACTCAAGATAGTCTCCTCTTGTTTCTTTATTACCTTGGCTTGCACACAGGAGTTGCAGTACCAAGGTAATATGGCCAAATCACTATTGGTGCCAGAGCACTCCCAATGAAACCACAGGCCACAGTCCTCACATCCTGTCCCCTGGCTAACCTTCCTTCTGCAGGCCCCACATTTACCTGATAAGTCGTTACCCCTTGTGGTCATTATTACCACTTATGTTAACTTATAATTCAGTACTAACTAACAGATATATTTAAAGAGTCTAATTTGTGATTAGAACTTACAAGAGTATATGCTGGCACAAATCTTTTAAGGCCCACTATATACAATGATACACTTATTTTAGGTTAGGCCCACTGGTACACTTGCAATAGTACAAATCAACTTACTAAAGATATAAAATAACACACTTCTTGTAGGTTAGGCCTACTGTACACTTACGAAAATACAAACAACTTATGTAAGATATAAATAACACTTGTGAAAATACAAATCGACTTCCTTAAGATATAAAATAACACACTCCTTGTAGGTTAGGCCTACTGTATACTTACGAAAATACAAATCAGCTTCCTTAAGACAAAGTAACACACTACTTGTAGGTTAGGCCTACCAGTACGCTTATGAAAATACAAATCACCGTATTTAAGATATAAAATAACAAGAGTGTTTACTAGTTCTACTACTAATCTATATTAACAGAAAGTTGAAGTTAAAAAAATGCAGTTTTAGGAGCGTTGAGCGGAAGATCAGATACTAATAGCTCACAATATGGCGGAAAATGGCCTAGGAGCTAAGCATGGATTAAGAGTGAGTAAAAAAAGGAAGAAAACGTTCAGTATAGAAAAAAATTTAAATATAAGGTTCACTATAGTACACTTGTTAAAGAAGATAACCACTTAATTTTTACTACTGACCGAATGAAACTGCTCTTTTGTACTTAAATTAAGGAGCTCTCAGATTCTCACACTGCCACTCAACGCGTCCTTCACAGAAGTCATGAACATTTACTTGTACATATCCTCCACCAACATTATACCCTTATCCCGTTGTTTTATCAGTTCGTCGAAAACCTCAGTATACCCATAGAAGACTTTTGACAGTTGTCTCACTTCTGCAACCCCATTTCAACCTCGTCGTCAGTGAATCGTTTGCAATCATGGTGTCTTTTTTTTAATGGACCACACAGATGGGAGTCACTAGGGGCCAAGCCTGGGCAAATGTTCAAGAAGTTCCCACTGTAGTTCTTGAATTCTCTCCTGAGTTGCTGGGGGCTGTACGGGATCTGTCATTGTCATGATGAAGCAGAACCCCTCTTGCCAGTTGGCCATGACTTTTTTTTATGAATTGCATTCCGAAGCCTCAATTGAACTTGACTATACAATACACAATTCACATTTTCACCACACTTCTGAAAATGGGCTGAGAGTACTCCCTGAGAAACCCAAAACATGATAAACATAACTTTCCCAGCAGATGGCACAAAAGTTGAAGATGTAATGAAATTACTAGACATCTGTTTAACAACTATATACTTCCAGTTTGAGGATAAATTGTATCAGAAAGCAGAGGGTATGACAATGGGAAACAATCTCCAGTGGTCAGCAACTTCAACCAGCAGGCTTCGTCGCCAGCGCTCGGTCTTCGGAGACATCGGCAGGCTGCGCCATGCACGACTGCCTCGGCCCTCCGGCGCTCTCACACCCGACTCACTGGGGCACCGCGCCTGGACTCGCCGGTGGTCGTGTTACGGTCCGACCCACTGGGCATCTGGCGTAGCCACTGCCTCATGGCTCCTACGACCGCGCTCGACTAGCCTTTCAGCACCAGCAGCAACCTCCGCCATTTGCCGCGCAGCGATCAAGCAACCTCCAACTCACGCTGCCGCACGGCAACCAAGCAACCTCCAGCCACGGCCGCACTGCGGCCAGGCCACTCGCCATTCACTAGCCTTTCTCCTTACCGGCGCGCGCCGCGCTACCTCACCAGTCAATCATCTCAGCAGCCACGGTCCTTTTCAGGGCCAACAAACTGTTCCGAAGAAGTGGGTTGTCATAGGAGTAGTGACGAGACTACACACATCGACGACAAGAGCCCCACAAAACCATTGTTTCGCCACATGGACTGGCGAGATTGCAGAAATTTCTTCACCACATCACCTACCAACAAATTCACAATCGTGGTCATGTATAAGGGTTCTAAATTGGCCACGAAATTGTACCAGAAACCAACTCATACAGGTCGTTATCTGCACTTCAAAACCAACCACCCATATCAAGTGATTCATAGTTCAGACAGTCAATACAGAGTCACATGTCAGGATCAGAAGGATTTTAAGAAGGAAATTAAGAACCTAAAACATGATCCGATGCTTAATGAATACCCGTAATGAAGCCATTGAGAAGCAACCATCCTTCATATACAATGTACCAGGGCACAGTCAATTTACCATATGTTAAAGGTATATCCAATAAATTCAGACGCGTTGAAAACCATTCCAGTACCAGGACCATTTTTAAAACTAAACATACACTCTATGGGACATTTATGAAAACTGGATCAGTTAGAGATGCCCGACAGACAAAGCATTGTGCGTACAATATCCCGTGTTATTGTGACAAATGTTACATCAGCAAAACCAGCAGATCTTCAGAAGTAAGCATTAAGGAGCACAAATATGACTGAAGGTATGCTTGAAAAATCAAAATTAAACGAACGTGCATATGAAGAAGGTCACAAAATATGTTGGAAAGAAGCAGAGGTCCTATAGATTGTGTTTTGTTGGCTGTGTTCACATATATTTATTGCTGTGGGCCAGGCAGGAACTTGACTGAGGAAGTGAATTCAACACTTCTGAGTTATATTCTTGAGGCATATAGTACAGATTTCGCCTGGGATTCCAACTTTTGTAACACTTATGATTAACTTTCCTCTGTCCTTCCAGATGAATGCAAGATGGTATCTTGTGGAAGGTCACAGACACTCCTTCCACAGTCCTTACAGTTTTGCCAGATATAATCATCTTGTCAAATATTTCAGTGCAAAACAGTATCCACAATTGATGCAGAATTATTAAATCACCTATCATACCTCGATTCATCCTAGTAATTTTTCAGAGTAGAATGCCCCATCAGTAGGGATCACTGTTACAGAATAACACTATGTTGCTAATAATTTATGTGTGTATATAGTTTGTTTATTATCTTTTTAACTTATCTGTAAACCTCATAATGCTGAAACATATTACATAACCCAGTGGTTTTAATTATAAGTAAGTGTGCCTATGTTTGAGGACAATGCTTTTGATCTCAGTAATGTGACAAGTATACATTTACTGTAGAAACTGGAAGTAAAGCCTTTGTCGAAAGTCAGCGTGCTATGTTCAGTGCTGTGTTCAGTTTCATAGCTCACTCTAGTTTTCTCTCAGTTCTCACTGCTAAGGAACACAGAGTATTATCATATGGTATAAACAAAGTTGTCAGATTGAACTCACTTTATTACCTTATGTTACAGCTTATTACCACATTAAATATTCACTGAACCTGAAATCTCATATTTTACACGTTATCATGGACAATAGTATAACTCCAATGTGATGTTACCAGTAACAGCAAGAGGTACCACACAATAAAAAGGCACTTCCAAAATTACAGGTGGAAGCACAAATTTGACTTTGAGACTATATCTATTGAGTGATTTGGCCTTTGTTTGCTGACAAGCACAGCATGTATTATTCTGTCTTACTTTCCATGATTCCTTTAGTATTTTCTGTGATTTTATCCTTCCACTGCTTGTATAATTTCAGTTTTGTAGGAAACAATTTCTATTTCGCTTCTGATAGAAACTATTTTGAATCACCAGTTTCAGATTTATAGGAGTATAGTGTCTACTCTCTTTTAGGTCTGTGAGTGCTGAATCCTGTTAAGATCTTTAGCTTTGTGTTCATCATGCAGTTCAGAACTATTGCATGGATCGTGCTGAAGTTGCATTATACAGAACTTTTTTCTTTTGGCATGCAATGGTACATCCGACTTATATCCTCATTTTTTACTACACTAAACGTAATGTCATGTCTTCAGTATTTTGAAGGTTTATTTTTCTGTTGAACATAAAGTATATAGCCCAGCAATTCGCCATGTCTACCAGCATCCTTTTATCTAGAAGAAAACACAGGGTATATGTGATGTCCATTTTATATACATTTTAACAAATATTTTTAAGAGGTTTGTAGTAAATAATAGCATGTTTATGGATGCCTTGTTACAATATAACATGAAAATGCGATTTCTCTTTTGCCTAGCTATGCCTAGGATTAGGTACTATTATTGTGGTAAGTTTTTTTGTGAATTTCTTGTGTGAGCATGCTAGGTACTGACTAAACTGCTGATCCACAATTATTAAGCAGAAATATTTGCAGTGTTCAACAATTTTTCTTATGTTTGTATTTTTTCTCTGTTAATAATCACTGCACATTAATTACCCTTAATTTAATTGGGTTTGAAGCTACATTTTCACCCTTGGATATTTTATGCCAGTAGTTGCATAAGGTGTATTTAATTCAGATCCTACACTTTTCACACTAGCACCCTTCTAGTTTTTGATCACCGCCAGGTGGTGTTTAGTGGTGATATATTTAACTATTGAAAGAGCAAGTTAGGAACATGTATAAATAATACAGTGGAGTGATTCTGGAATGGGCATGCCTTCATGCGAGAGAGAGAGAGAGAGAGACAGAGAGAAAGGGGTAAGAGAGTGTGCATGCGTGCGTACATGTGTAAGCATCATGTTGTAATAAAACAAAAATGCATATTGCGTTAAAGGAACTATGACAGAATTTTCGAAGTTTATATCAAACATTTTAATTATTTATGTCAGTAATTTCTATGTTTAGTAACGAAAGTTATGTAGAAAATGGATGATGTGGTTGTCTGGGATCTGACTCCAAAACAGTAGTACTATCTACAGAGAGTACTAATATTTTGGAGGAACATGCCGCATCCATTTTCAGGATAGATGATATAAGATATTGCTACCTTTTATTGACTACGTGACACACTTCCTAGAAGATTGTATCATAATATTTAAAATACTTAATGCCGCAGATCTCAAAATCAAATGATATTTAAAACCTGCTGTTAAAATTTTATGACCTTCATTGTTGCGCTTTTGATAGTAGCACAGTAGGGCATAGCTTTCTGATTTAAATCTGGTGTTGTGCTGCTGTCTTTTGCAGGACAGGCAACCCCCTCCCCCTTCATTTTTAAAAGAAAAAATCAGGACTTTAAAAACAAGCTACTAACTCCATGGCCATGTTAGGTGGGTCCCTTGTCACCACGGCATGGCGCGACCTCAGGTTGTGAATGGAGGAGACGCCCTCCAGATATGGACGGAAGCTGCGAATGTATTAAATAAGCAGTCGCTCTCAGCTGACAAGAGGTGGTCCTCCAGCGTGGGGGTTGGGCGTGGGGCTAGCAATTCCTCACCATAAAAAGTAATCCTGAACACAAAGCCTCGGAACTGAACGGATCCTCTGGATAAACGAACTAAGCGAAAGAAAATGGACATGAGATTCGATACTTGGAATGTTAGAAGCATGTATAGGGCAGGTTCACTCAGGGCAGCGGTGGAACAACTCTTAAAATCTAAATTTGATTTAGCGGGAATGCAGGAGGTCAGATGGGACGGAGGTGCCACCGCACCTGCAGGTGCGTATATGTACATTTTTCTAAGGAAAGGGGAATGCAAATCACAAATTAGGTTTTTTCATACATAAAAGAATCATATCAGCATTTAAAGAGGGTAGAGTTTGTTAGTGATATAATATAATATGCTGGTGTGATATGATCATTATGAATGTTCATGCACCAACAGAAGATAAAATTGATGACATAAAGGACAGGTTCTATGAAGAACTAGAACATGCATTTGATAAATTTCAGAAGTAACCCATGAAAATTTTGTTAGAAGATTTCAATGCCAAAGTGGGAAGGGAAGACATTTTGAAATGGGAATGAGAATTTGGATGAAATTAATAATGATAATGGAGTTAGAATAGTAAACATTACCACATCCAAAAATCTTACTGTTAAAAGTGCAATGTTCCTGTAGCATAACATCAATAAATTTACTTGGACATCTCCAGATGGGAAGATACCCAATGAGATTGATCACATTTTGATAAATAGGAGACACATTCAAGTCACTATATGTCCGATCATTCAGAGGAGCAGATTGTGATAACTGACCCACTACCTGGTGGCAGCAAAGGTTAGGGAAAGGCTGACAGTGAGCAAATAAACAACGCACAGAGTTCATATATAGAGGTTCAGTTTCAAGAAATTAAATGAGGTAGATGGTAAGAGCAGTATCGTCTTGAAATCTGAAATAAGTTCAAGGCTTTGAAAAACTTGACACCAAGGTGGATGTTAATAAAGCTTGTGGAATTATTATAGACAATATCAAATTTCTGCCAAGGAGCATCTAGGTTGTTGTGAACTGAAGAATCATAAGCCATTGTTCGATGAAGAATGCTCAAAATTATTAGACCAAAGTAAAGAAGCCAAATTGCAATGTTTAAAGGATCCAAGCGACATAAATGGCGATAATCTGATTAATATAAATGTGAAACCAGCAGGCATTTCAGGAATAAACAGAGGGAATATCTGAAAGAAAATTAATGAGCTTGCAACAAACAGTAAGAACACGAATATTAGAGACCTGTAGAGAGGAATAAATGTCTTTAAGAAGGGTTACCAACCTATCAGTAATGTAATGAAGGATGAGAATGGTGATCTGCTTGCAGATTCCCACAACATTTTGAGTAGGTGGAGGAACTGAAGAAAGCATTTGACTGTGTTAACCACGAAATATTTTTAAATAAACTGGGATACTATGGGATAAATGGAGTATTTAAAAAATTAATCAAGTCTTATTTGAACAATAGATACCAAAAGGTAGTATTAAATAATAGGACAACCTATAATACCACCTTTTCTGATTGGGAGATCATCAAATATGGTGTCCCACAAGGCTCTATATTAGGTCCTTTATTTTTCTTATTGTATATTAATGAATTACCCAAAGTAATAACAAATAATGCGAAGATTATTTTATTCGCTGATGATACTAGTATCATAATATCCGATTCGAGCCCTCATAATTTGGAAATTAATATGAATAAACAATTCTTAGCCATAAACAAATGGTTTGAAGCTAACCTGCTATCCTTAAATTTTAATAAAACCCACCATCTCCTGTTCAGGACTAAAAATAGTTTGGTAACAGACATAAGCATATATCATCAAAATAAGAATATCACTAATGTGCCAAATATTAAGTTTCTAGGTATTTATATTGATGAAACATTATCATGGAAGTCTCATATTGATAAATTAGTAATTAAAATGAGTGCAGCTTGCTATGCAATTAGAACTGTAAGAGGTCTCATGTCACAGGAAACCCTAAGGATGATCTACTTTGCCTATGTGCATACTATCATGGAATATGGGATAATTTTCTGGGGTAGCTCAGCAACTAGTATAAATGTTTTCAGAATGCAAAAGCGGATCATTAGAACTATTATGAATGTAAGAACTAGAGACTCATGTAGGGAACTATTCAAAAACCTAAAAATATTACCAATGTACTCACAGTATATATACTCTATAATTCTGTTTGATGTAAATAATAGAGACCTATACAGTTCAAACTATGAGACCCACAATCTTAATACTAGACATACCACAGATTTGCACCTTCCCACATCACGCCTAACAATCTTTCAGAAAGGACCATATTATTTTGGTATTAAGGCTTATAACCACCTGCCATCCAGAATCAAGAGTATGAGTAATGATGTGAAACTATTTAAACTGAGGGTAAAAAGATTTTTTCTTTCAAATTCTTTTTATTCCTTAGAGGAATACTTCAACCATGTATGTAATTAAAATTGGTAATTGTACCCCTGATATGTTATAATTTTATATCATTACCTAAGTATTTTGTATCAATTATTGTTTTATAATTTTGATCATATTATGCATTGTACATTAATATAAATCTTTTAACTGTCTTAATGACAAAAGTATGTATGTAGTTTTTGTATACTGTACTACTTCTCTCAGTTATTGAATGTACATAGGGTCAGTGCTGTTAGGCAGACAGAAATCCATACAGCTGAGCCGTTAGTACCTGATCCTAGCCCTTATGATATTAAAAGTGCTATTGCAAAATTGAAACGGTATAAATCGCCAGGTAGTGATCAAATTCCAGCAGAACTTATTCAAGATAGAGGTGTAATATTACTGTGACATGTTTCGCAACGGAGAACCCCTCCCTACCCAGCAGCAACGTGGCAATTCAGGCCACAGTGACGTGGCAGATGAGTTAGCGCTCCCTCACCCCCCCCTATGCGGTGACGTAAGACGGTGCGAGGTAACAGCGTTGCTAGGCTATACGCAAACACGGTGACGCGGCACCGCTTCCTACTGTGACGTGGCGGGCGACCCTAGCAGCAGCGAACGGAATAAAAGCCGGCTGAGCAGCAAGCGAGAGTCAGTGTGTTATCAACAGTTCTCAAGGCAGCAGCCTGCGAGTTGAGTTGAAATCTAGCCATCAGGGAGTTACGAGTTGAATTGAATTGTAGTAGTCGCCGAGTTTATTTGTAACGAGTGAATCGTGACAGTGTGAAGAGATGTGTGTAGGGTTTGTAAAGTGTGTAAATGTGTATCAGTGTTATAATTAATTGTAGCCGTTACTTGTAGGTTGTTAAATAAACCAATTAACAATCTCTACGGTGTATTCAGTAACGAAACATGTTACATTACATTCTAAGATCCATAAGCTAATTACGTCTATTTGGCATAAGGAAAATTTTCCTGATCAGTGGAATGAGTCTATTATTGTACCATTTCACAAGAAAGGTGATAAAACTGACTGTAGTAATTATCGGTTAATGTAACAACTATATGCTTCATACAGAATTGTATCCAATATTAATGTCTCAAGGTTGAGTCCATCCACAGATTAAATTATTGGGATCATCAGTGAGGGTTTCGATGTAACAGATAAACTACAGATCAGATCTTTTGCATTCATGAGATATTGGAGAAAAAATGGGAGTACAATGAGACAGTACATCAGTTATGCATAGACTTCAAGAAAGTCTCTCATTCAGTTAGGAGGGAAGTATTGTATAATTTGGGATGCCCATGAGACTAATTTTTTTTCCTTGGCCTACAGCCCCAGTGGGCCTAGGCCTACCTCCATGAACCTTGTTCACTTCGGTTGTTCTTGATCTTAAACATTCGGTAGGACTCCTTGGGCGGGTGA